GGGGGGGTGGGGTTATTATGGACATTGGGGAGGGTATGTGCTATGGTGAGTGCAGTGAAGTGTGTAAACCTGGCGATTCACAGACCTGTACCCCTGGGGAAAAAAATATATGTTTATAAAAAATAAAATTTAAAAAAAAGAAAATAATAAAATAATAAAATAAAAAAAAAAAACCCAAAAAAAAAAAAAAAAAAGCAATGTACTCCTCCAAGCATTAAACACTACGATTTTATTTGCATGATATCTATTGTCCCTACAGGTATATTAGATTTATATTCTGGCTTAGATTTGGACTATTTAGAAGGGTTCTTTCAATTTAACAGCTTTTAATATGAATATGTAACTTTGCAAATATTCTGGTATTACTTCACCGTTATCCTTCTACATTAAATTGAATGGACCTCACTGGATATGGCACCAATAGCCAGGAAGAATTCAACCAAGAACAAGAATAGAATAGAATAGAATAGAATGTAAAACCATAAAAAGTCACCACTACCTTCCTTTTATAAAAATGTTCATTTTTCTTAAAAAATTAATACTGTAAAGGTGTTCAAGTATATTCCAAAGAGAAAGAGTCATAGATAATTATCTTGCTCAAATTCAAATTTTGAAAACACCAACTTCAATGCCTGGTATAGGGTATTTATTGAATTAAATGAATACACAAATACACAATAAGTGGGTGAATGAATTAATTAGTACATACATGCATTAAAAATCAAACATGACAGGGATGCCTAGGTGGCTCAGTCATTTAAGCATCTGACTTCAGCTCCGGTCATGGTCTCTGGGTCCTGGGATCAAGTACTGGGATTTGAGTCTGCTAGGTGCTCAGCGAGCAGTCTGCATCTCCCTTTCCTTCTGCCCTATCCCCAACCCCTCATGCTCTTTCTCCCTTAGTCTTTCTCAAATAAATAAATAAAATCTATTAAAAAAGAAAAACCAAGCAGAATGGCAGTACTCTTTAAAATTATTAACTGGGGATGCCTGGGTGGCTCAGTCCTTTTAAGCAAGCATCTGACCAGCTTAGGTCCTGGGATAGAGCCCTGCATGGAGCTTCCTGATCATCCGGGAACCTGCCTGAACCTCTCCCTCTGCCTCTTCCTCTCTCCCTGCTTGTGCTCTTTCTGTTTCTCTCAAAGAAGTCAATAAAATCTTTAAAAACGAATAAAATCATTAACTTATTGAGAAAAACGTGAGAATAGTATTTCTAACTTAAAAAATCAACAAATCCACAAGAGGGTTGGTTTTCTTTTTCTGTATATGTCATTTGCTTTGTAATGTAGAGTAGAACATTTTAATATTATTTATTAAGTAAATATTCTACTTAATAGTTTCAATACATAAGTGAAACAAAAAATTGTGAGTGAATACTAAAATTACACTAATATTTCCTCACAGTTATAGATAATATAATTCAGCCTTACTGGACTTAAATTATGCTAATTTATACACTCTAATTTAAAGAATCACCATATTGTCACCCTTACAACTGGGTGTTAGTAGGTAGGGGTTCAAGTATTCTTCATAAATGACTTAATATTTTTGAACTTGGTACAATTCTCATCATCTATCTTGATTTTATCAACAAAAATTTGCTGCTTTTGGATGTCATCATTCTGTTTGGAAGGGTGGTAGGTAACATTGTAAAATTTATCTACATCTCAAGAAAGTATCCCTGTCTCAAAGAACATACTTTCTTGAGATGTAGATTTAAAAAAAAACTTTTTTTTAGTGTTTTAGTTTTTTTTAAAGTTTTTTTTTTTTAACTAAAAAAAGTTAATTTTATGTTGGAAAGAATTCTGTGTTCTAAAAAAAAAATCTACATTTACATCTAGATGAACTATGTGCCCTGGGATTTAGTAATTTTTTTTTCTTGAATGTAAAACTCTGAATTATTAGAGACAGAGCTCCATGGTTCAAAAGCTATGATTATAGATTTGCACAAAGCTTTCCACTGTCTCTCTGGTCTTAGGTGACCATTAAGCTTTTGAAGGATTTAATGCTTTGATTTTCTTCCCAGAGTTCACATTTTTATGCAGTGGAAAAAATCTGCCTTCATATGTATGTGAATCTGAAGGAAAGTCTTCTTGAAGGATTCATATGGCTCTTTCAAATATTAATAAATATAAAGAAATAAATTTTAAAAAGTTTCCAGTGGTTTAAAATACTTCTTTCCTCTTAACTGATTTTTGAAACTTGATTTTGAAATTCGAATAGAAAGTTATTAAATCACAGACTTTTTCTAATGTTCCATATATCTATCCTTATTGCAGAATTATTTATAACCCTTAGAAATCCTTGTTGTTATAATTAACATAATTCAGTAGACATATGGAAAGGGCTGCCATCATCTTATTCACATATTAGAAAGTCAATACTCATCCATTCCTCAAATCTAGTCATACTAACTAATCATGACTTCTCACTTGATACTTAAAATTGAAAAATCCACTATCATTTCATGGGATGCACCTTTCCCCAAACTTTTCAGAATTTGCCACCCCATTTAATAGAGAGAACACAAACTGGTGCTTAAATTGTGTAGCCAGAAAAAAAAGAAGGGAAGAAAGGAAGGAAGGAATTAAGAAAGAAAGAGAGAGAGAGAGAGAGAGACAGCTGAGAGATAAAACAAACATAAAATTACAAGCCAAAAAATGGACATCAATAAAAGTTCCAACAGTTAGCTAAATCATATGCCGAAAGCAGGCTTGCTCTAACATAATAGCAGCTGTCATACAATTTTTATTTCATCGTGTCCTTCTCAATTAGAAGTAATTAACATTTTTCATATGTTGTCTTTAAATTAAATAAACAGAATTCTACTGTATTTTAACTCAAAAACAGATTTTTCAAGTGCCAACTTGGCCACTTTCATATCCTTCTCATAATAGGTTTATGTATCACAGAGTCAGTAAGCAATATGTGACAACAATTATTCATTCTTTTTGTAAAAATAGATTCTTTACCCGGGACTGAAGAAGCACTAATGGAAGAGGGTGAAGAATTTGAGAAAGCATCTAAATTAGCAGGACATGTAAGTACATTCATTTGCTTACTTTTTTCTCAATTCCATAAACTAAGGTATATTACCAATAGGAAAATCTAAAAGGAATAGGAAATAATATTCTTTAAATTAAAAAATATTTTCAAATGTGAGTCCAGTATATCCCACGCTGTCATGCTGAGTGCTTATATTAGTAGGTGGCTAGCTTGTTAACAGGTATAGAGCAAGGCAGGACTAAGCTTTATCAGCAATTGGGGCAGAAGAATTTTTTTTTTTAAAGATTTTATTTATTTCAGACCAAGAGAAAGTGAGAGAGAGCAGGAGCAGGGAGATGGGCAGAGGGAGAAGCTGACTCCCCTGAGGAAGGAGCCAGATGCAGGACTTCATCCTAGGACCATGGGATCATGACCCAAGTGGAAGGCAGACGCTTAACCGACTGAGCCATCCAGAGGCTCCAGGGGCAGATGATTTGAATGAGTTAGAAAAAGCTACGTTCTGCTATGATTAACTTGATTAACGGCTGGCTTGTGCACATGAATATTCAAAAAGATTATGAGCAGTCATCCTAAACTTCATTAACAATACACATCTTGATAAAAATTAAATGTTTTGCATTTCCTGAAAGTTTATGCATGACGTAAGCTTGCTGTTATTGGTTGTGAAGTCCCTGTGATATTTTTGTTAAACTAGATCTCTTCCATAGAGTATATTGAGAAGAAAACCATTGGGTTAAGATTTTCAATGAAATTTAATGTTAAAAGAATAAACACAGAAAAAATAAAATCAACATGGGAATACAAAGTATAAAGTTCATAAAAGATTTTGAGTTGCTATGAAAATGACTAGGCAATCTTGCATCACCTTAAATTTAATATCTAAACTGGGTTTATATCCTGCAGTAGTCTCTGTGTTAGCTTGCTAGAGCTGCTGTAACAAAGCATTGTAGATTGGGTGGATTACACAATAGAAATTTATTTCACACGGTTCTGGAGGCAAAAGTTTGAGATCCAAGTGTCAGGATTTCTTTCTTCTGAAGCCTCTCTCCTTCCTCTTAAGTGATCTTCAGATATTAAAAGCTGTTAGCATCTCTCATCCGAGACTTTTGTTCAGCCCAAACAGAATCTGTTCTTTCATCAAATTCTGACATTGTGTCGTTTTTCAAAGACTTCAGTATGTCTGATACTTTCTCTGAGCATATTTTTGTTTGCCAAATTCCCTTGCAAAGTGTGGGTTCTGCCGCAACCAAGCCCAAGGTTCCGGATAACATTCCCACATCAGAGAGTGTCATGGGGTATGCACTTGATCAAATATTATTTTTGGATTATAATTTGGGATTTTCCTAACTTTTTTAAAGAAACTTTCTGACACTTATAAAATCCAGTATGTTTTGATAATCTCATGATGATAAAAGCATGTCATCATTCAGGTTGTGACAATGTTTCATTCATTACCTTTCCCAAGCTTTTTTTGTTATTCCTCTGTGAATTTCACCAAAGTCCGTGTATCTCCCTCATATGTAAAAGAATCCTACTAGATTCTTTTCCTAATCACTTTCTAAAATCAAGATAAATCCTGCCCATAGTATTTGACTTGCTTAATAATACATAATAACCCAAAAAGGGAAAGAAAACTTCTCAGTGATTTCAAGCTGACTGTGAGAGACTTTTAGTTACTTTTTTCAGTGCTTACATAGTGCTTCCAAAGCAAAAATTTGTTCTAAGCCAATTTTACTTGTTTTCACTTATCATTCAGTAGATTTTGGGTTCTTAAAAATTCTACAATTCTATTTACTGTCAAAATAACTATTTAATTCATTTTGGAAGCATGCAGAATATAAATAATACATGGAGAAATTTATTAATATCAGGATCCTGAACATAATTTCTACACATCAGCTGCTTTTTTCATAAAGAAAACATGGATTAAGAAAAGAGTCAGATGATATTTTGGATGCAAATTCCCTAAATAACATTTTTTAGGATTGTATTTTTGGTAAATCAAAGAGAAAATTGTGGCTAAATATTAATGGAGAAATGGAAGAAAACAGAACTTTTTTCTTTATTACCGTAAGAAATGCAAAATACTTCAAAGCAAATTTTGAGTCACATCCTGTAAAAATATAAACATGCCGCAAATGTTGAAATCCATCTAGAGCAGTTTCAACACATGCTGTCTTATTTGCTAACTTTCCTTGTTGGGTATTGGATATTAATAAGTAGGTAACAGACTCTTCAAAACTGTTTTCCCCAGTGGCTTAATTTGTGTTTAAAATATTTTGTGAATATTTTGTGACTATTTGAATGAGGTAAAGGGAACATTAAGATTTACATTTTTATCTTTCCCCAAATAAACAAGTCATTTTTTGAAATTTCCCTTTCCTCCACCCCCTCCTTCAGCATTCTGGAATCTTTCTTAACTTACGTACATGTTATGAAGATCAAAGCTAGACTTGTCAGAGACATCTATTTATTAGAAATGAACCAACAAAAAGAAAATCTTAGGAAGAAAATGACAAGGAGCAGACTCTGATTAATGGACTTTAGTTCATTACATGTAGTTCATTATATATATATAGTTCATAAATATAGTACACAACATTTTGTTTAAATCAATGATCCATAAAGATTTAGTATTAATGATTTTTTTAATTTCACAATTTCTATAGCTTTCTGAATCTTCACAATTCCATTTTGTTTTGAAAGTATGACATACATATCTGAGCATAATGGGAAGATGAAAAGATAACTAAGAAAGACATTTAACATTCAACATCTTATTGACTTTTTTCTTTTTCCTTTGTAAATCTCTTATTTATTTTATTCATTAGTCAATACCAATCAGACCATCATAAGCAGATTCCCAGAGCATTTTACATAACTAGTCATCATTTCTTAAAATAGAAGAAAAGTTTTAAAGAAGACTCCAGTAGGGAAGGTTTTTCTGGTGTTTTCAGGAAATACTGAAAGTGTACTTCTAATACATTTTCCTTCTGAAGAATTTTAGCTCCTTGAGAAGTTATGTTAAACTAAGTAGAATGATAGTAGTAATAATAGTAATGATAGCACGTTTCTATAGAACGTTTTAATTGTTAAGCATTTTTACATACTTAATGTCAATTAAATATTAAATATTAACTAAGTATGTCTCGGAATTTTGCAAGTCCTTACACACATGGGCATGACAACCCTTCAGTGAACTCAGTAGTGGTCTAAAATTCGGGTGAGCATACCAAGCCTCCAGACGATCTGGTGATTTGTCCCATGTCACATAGACAGGGCAGAACTTAAACTTGTATTTCCCAGTGCCCCACACTTTCACTTTTCACTAAGTTAGTAGGGCCACTCCTAAATAGCATATGTAATATAGAAAAGATAAAAATTAGGCCATTATTAGTAGCCAATGTCAAAGATAAAATTATTCATTAGATTAAGTAGATAATGAGGGGCACCTGGGTGGCTCAGTGGATCCTGATTTAGAGTGCTGGGATTGAGCCCCGCATTGGGTTCTCTCCTCATCGGGGAGCCTGCTTCCTCCAATCTCTCTCTCTGCCTGCCTCTCTGCCTACTTGTGATCTCTGTCTGTCAGATAAATAAGTAAATAAATAAATCTTTAAAAAAAAAGATTAAGTAGATAATGAAAAAGGAGATGTTTAAGGTACTGGATCATGATAGGTAATTTTTAAAAATTATTTTATTTAAATTTTAATTAACATATAGTGTATTATTAGTTTCAGAGGGAGTTCAGTGATTCATGAGTTTCGTGTAACACCCAGTGCTCATTTCATCACGTGCTCTCCTTAATGGCCATCACCTAGTTACCCCATCCCCACCCCTACCTCCCCTCCAGCAACCCTCAGTTTGCTTCCTAGAGTAGAGTCTCTTATGGTTTGTCTTCCTTTCTGATTTAGTCTTATTTTTATTTTTCCTCCCTTCCCCTATGATCTTCTGCTTTATTTCTTAAATTCATTTGATTCTTAAATTCATGAGTGAGATCATATGATAATTATCTTTCTGATTGACTTATTTCACTTAGTATAATGCCCTCTAGTTCCATCCATGTCATTACAAATGGTAAGATTTCATTTTTTGATGGCTGAGTAATATTCTTGTGTGTGTGTGTGTGTGTGTGTGTGTGTGTCTACCACATCTTCCTTATCCATTCATCTACAATAGCTAATTTTTTATGAGAGGAAAGGATCAATAAGTTTGGAACATAAAAGACTAGTCTTGCTTGGGTTCTTAATTTCTGAAGGAGTCTGAGAAACCAATGCAGCATGAGAAGAAGGGGGATCTTAAAATTAGGAGGAAGGAAAGAGAAAAGGATAATAATAACACATCTTGGAAAAAGTTCCTCTGACAAACAATTCAAAAGTGAAACTCAGGAGATTCTGGAATTTTCAGGATTAGAGGTAAACTTTGATTACTTTTAAGCATGCATAATATTGTGCTTTGTTGATTATTAAATAAAAAGTTTTGTCTGGTGATATAGGGACAAGTGGATGGCCTCTCTCTCTATCTCTCTCTCTCCTTCACTGATTCTTTCTACTTTCACTCACAAGTAGTAAGGTAGAGACTTGATTATCTGATGTTGAAATTTCCCACACATGCCACATTTTCCCGATATTCCATGAATATGAAGTTAAAAAAGAGTAAATATGGGTTAGATATAAATATGATTCTCTTTTGATAACAACTGTAATTGGAAGAGACATAAAGATAAAGAAACATTTACTTGCATACTTGCAATAGCACAGGCAACTGATGTACAAATTCGGAAAAGAGTTTTGATAGGAAGGACATTGTTCCTAAATGAACTTCTTTTTAACGGAAAAAATTAGGTGAAACAGTTTTTGTTAACTTAAAAAAAATTTATTCTGCTAATGAAGTATGTACGTCAGCAAAGAGTTCCACCTGTATTTCTAGTCCTGGTCTGATCATTAATTAGTAGTGTGGAATCTTCTTTTAACCAATCCTAAGTGCCCTTAGGAATGATGTTAAAAAAAGAATTCCACTACACACAGGGAGCACTGA